TCTTCACCATGTGTCTCTAAGTTTTCATCACGTTTAAGCCATAACCACCGTTACTGGATGTCAAGCTATAAGTCAAAATTTCCAATGTCATTCCGCTTGTAATGCAACGTGATAATAAACTTTATGATTCCATGGAATCCTAAACTCAGCGAAATGCTTGTGTAATATTACTCTCTGATTTTCGACTGATTTAGGTTCGTGTTCAAATGTACTTTCAAAATGTTGATGATGATTTATGTGCAAGAAGAAAAATGTCACCAAGTTTACTGAAATGATTTTTGCAGTGATTCTCGTAGATTATTCTAAGGTATGTTTAAATCAATCAACGTTTCAAACTCCGGCTAATGGAGCAAATATATTTATGATGATTAGCTTGATTCATTGTGTACGCACCGATTTTGATTGGTCAAGAGTTTACAGATTACAATTTTGAAAATGTTAATCAACCAATCAAATTTTATTTTAGTGCTAAGCAAAATGATTATTGTTTTGACAAATTATAGAGTAACACATTTGAGGCAACAAATATATATATATATACCTCCAACTTTAAAATCTACCATTTTTCTTGTTGAAAATGACTACAGTTCAGCCAACTTTAAATCGTTATTTAAGCGAGCTAGATGAAGATGTTTTCCATCATTTTGGATTCAGCACAAAATCATTTAATTTCAAAGAGAAATTTGGCGATGTCAAGGTAATTTTCATTGTTAGTTATTTTATTTTGTACTAAACTTGGCTAAGATTCATGCAAGTATGATAAACACAATTAAGTTTACTGAAGTTTACGTAGCAAACAGTGGGGCAAATCTAGAAAATTACTTGTCAATTTACCGGAAAAACGATAATAAGTAAAAGACAAATTGATTTCTAGATGTGTGATAAATTTTTCGAATAGAATACATGTTACGCAATTTAAGTATATTTTTAAAACCTTGGTCACTAGTTAGTTACCTCTGTTTACTTTGATGGTATTTTTGAAAACGAACATTATTTCCTCAAGTTTAGTAAATGTGAATGTTGTGGAGTTATCAGTGATGAGAGTATTTGCAATTGATTCATTGATTCGATTTTGTAGATTATCTGTTTCACGAATTGCCACTATCAATCTACTACACTGTCTATTCAATTCATTCTGACCTGGTTATTTAATACAAACGGGTTAAGTAAACAATTTTTTCTGATATGATGAATCGAAATCGATCAAATCAAGTAAACTGACTGTAGTGGAATAATTATGCTTAGTATTTCGATGAAGATACGTTTTTGTCATAGTGTAGTGACTGAGAACACAGGTGGGGGCAACCGAATTGTATTTATCGAAATTACAGAGGTACTCAGTAAAATCGGAAAACCATATCGTAAATCGTTCATTTGCAAAAGATCAGTTCATCCTATGGAACTGGACTGTTCCTGTTGCTAAACATCAATCCATTGTCACTATTCATGCGTTTCATACAAATTCCATTGTTTTCTAACTCTTCCTTTCTTGATCTTCCCCCCATATTATGCTACCAGACTTTACGTTGACACTCACGTTATATACTACTTATAAGTATTTCGCACCACAGCACCACAATAGGATCTAACAGATTGATTTAAAAACTTTTTAAATCCTATCATGATTTACAGTGAATCAGAAACGATATTTTTGTTTATTTCTCAATAGTTTGTCTGTGTATGTGGTAGCCGGGGTAGAATTTACAATTTTGCAGAATCTATGGCTAAAGCAGCTGGTTTACAGTTGCCAGTAGAGAATATCGCTACTTCAAGTGGAAGATTTGCACTCTACAAAGTCGATCATATATTATTTGCAGATGTAAGTTGAAAATAAAGTTTTGAAATGAGCAAGTTGGTTTTCTTCTTCCAGATAACTGTCATTTGATCAATTAATATATGTTATGACTTATTTATTCATATATTTGATGAGGTTTAATATCCTTTGAAATAAACTTGACGAATGAATGTTTTCACTGTTAATGATCGAGATCTTGTATTTTCACATCACTGACTGTTTTTTTTAATAAGATAATTAAAGAAAAATTCGAACAAGAGAACTATTGTTTTGTTCTAGTATTTGACTGTGAAGCAGCTCAAATCCAATGCTCCTTCTGGAATCAAGTGAATAGCCTTCAGATCATTTCACTGAGTCCTACACTAATGAGATACTGTTGTCCAATGACTTTTAGTTTCTGATGGTTGTTCAACCAAATTCAATTCGCAAGCTAAAATTATGAAGTATAACATTATTCACAACCTCAATGGCTAAACAATAGAATGTTGATTTTAATGGTCAGAATATTCGAAGCAATTAATTATTACTTCATAGAATGAAGGTCGACTAAACTATTAGACAAATGACAAAGTAATTATCGTCAAATAATTGAACGACATTTATTTAGTTGGTATTTTTCGCAAAAGTATATTATCATTTTACTAGATGCATACTTCCATATTCTATTCATTCATAATTGTTTGATCAAATCGATTGTCAGTGGATAGGTTTACATTTTGTGATAGCATTTCTTTCTCTGAAGTGGATGTTTTGATTGTGGAGCTTTCATTGTTGTTCTTCGAAATGAACAACATCATCAGAAGCACAAACTTCACCTTGAAGTTCAGAAGAACAATATAAGCTTCACAACCAAAATATCCAGCTCAGAGAACCAAACTCCATCACAATAATCCACCCGTGCTAGAAAGGCTGTATATTTCATGCATAAACACAATATCAACTGATTAATAGTTTGAATGATATAGTCAGTTTATAAGATTTTTCGACATGTTTTGTAGATTTTCAAAATGTTACATTCTGAACTGATGTTAATCATTGAACTATTGAAACTACCGGCATGTATTGAACAACCTACAACAGCATCTGTGATATAGTCTAATCTTGTAATATGTTCAGTTCTTTTCTAGTATTCAAATTATATACTTGATATACACTTGGTATATCAGTCAACATTGTTTCAAAATGATCATTTAACGAGTATTTCTTTTTATAATCTACCAATCCATTTCGATATGAGTGTATACTGTTACGAATGCGCGCGAAAACGTCAGTTGATAGGCTTGAACTATTGCGAGTTTACCTTAGTCGGTAAACGAAAGCGATGATCGAGGATCCGGCGGCACGACTTGCTACTCTAAACCGATTATCCTAACTCCCCCCACCCTGTGAGTAGAAGAAGAAGACTTGATCTTAAGTAGAACATATATTCTACAACCATCCAGAAAGTACGATGTACGAGTACAGAAGAGGTTAAGGATCCTGAACTAGATATCCAGGTCCGGGTCAGCAGACGTCACAAATGATGCATATTAATACAGTAAGGTAGAAGAGAAAACAACATTGAAGTTTGTAACATTGATAATTAGGACGACCAATAGGAATTGACCAATTCTCTTAGCAATTTGAATGAATATCCTAACATATACACTTTCATTGAAGTCTATTTATCAGTTCAATTTAAATTTCTTTGACTTGAAATTAATTACTTACTCATAAACTGCACTGATTTAATTCTTGTTAGTGAAAAAATAAAACAATTGACGATTTTATTATTGTTTTGTTCCTTATTTTATTTAAAAAAAAGCATGGAATAGGTATACCATCAACATCAATTCTATTACATGAAATGACAAAATTGTTACATTATGCCGGTTGTACAAATGTTCTGTTTATACGTTTAGGAACATCAGGTGGTTTAGGTAAAACAACACGTGTAAAGTAGTTCTTGTTTTTCATCATTATTATTATTACTGATTGTCAAATTCGTAATTTTGCAAGGAATTAGTTAATGTATATTGATCGTCAGACTTTTGTTGTTGTCGTCGTCATGAAAAGTAACACATCTCGTATCATTACAAATGTATTGAGATTTGATTATCTATGTAGTTCGTTTTCAACGCTTCCTATGAGATTATTCGCACTTTAAATGTAAATGATGAGTCCCATACCATGACGAAACGATCGTCCAGTGCTTACCGATTTTTAATGATGGTCTACCAACGATTCATTCATGATTTTGATGTGAAGCAACACTGATCTTCATAAATCGAACTAAATAAAATAGTTTACATAGGCAATTACTTGATGTTCTTTGGCAGAATTTAACACTGTTCGTAATATTCAAACGAAAATCGTTTAGGGTTTATACGGAATGACAAGATAAGAGTTAGACTTAAGAAATATCTATCAGTGAATGACATAATTTTGAAGAAAAAACACTCAATGCTCATTGGATTGTGTATCTGGTACTAATTTAGACATCATTATCTCTTTTATAATCTCACTAATATCCTCCTAATCAATACTTATACTTGTACTGAACGAAATCAATAGGTTGGGTGGCCATATGATAAAACAGTTACATATTACTAACTTATATTAACCTTTTTGTAGGAATTAATAAAAAAGAATTTCGTCATGAATTGGAAGTTTTAGTAAATTAACTAATGACTTAATAGTTTTATTAAAATTACGAACTAATTTAAGCTTGATAACTGTTGATAATCTGGAAGGACTGAAAAGCTATTTTATCTAACTAGAGAACTCCCCAGCACACCCTATATCCGGAAATCAAACTCAGGTCTTACTGTCTGTCATGTGATATTGGACGATCATCTTCCGGAAATCCAGTGTCGAACATAGGCTGGTTCGTGTTTTAAAAAATTACACAATCTTTATTACCCCATATGGTTACTTGTTATTGAAATTCTTTAATGTTTCTTTTCACTTGTTGCATATAAACATTCTGGTCCATTTAATCGTTTTATTTTTTTATTAGGAGTCAGACCTGGTACACTTGTAGTGAGCGATCGTTGTGTGAATACCAAATTAGAACCATATCACGAACTGGTATGTATGAATTTTAATATCATGAATTTACGATCTTCAAAATTTTATTATTGATTGTTAACATATTGTACAAGTAATTCACTTCATTGACGCAGATATTTCAAGCAATAATTTATCGATTAGCTACTATCAAACGATGATATTCAAGTCAACTAGTATTCTCTTCACTCATTATTCGTTTCATATGAACTAGAAAGTTACTTTAAGAACAAGCATCTAACGAAAGATTGATTTTATTAGACAAAGCGAAAATGGAGCATAATTTAATCCTGAAGTTATTTGAAAACAAGACTTTTCATTTCGACAAATCGACGAACGCATGGACTTGCTCTTTATATATACATGTATATATATATATATATATATATATATATATATATATATATATATATATAAAATAGAGAAATTATT